CACTCAGAGTGACTTCCTAGAAATCTCTGGAGCTGCCTGGGGGGGGGGGGGGAGTGCTGTCCCTAGTCGCCTATGAGGCCCATGGCCAGAGTTAGACACTGACATGCCTCACCGTGAGTTTCATGTGACCTGTGCCTTAGAGAAAGGTTTCCTCTCACTGTCGCCCCAGTGAAACCAGACCCGGTCCGGACGGAAAATAAAAGGTGCTAGAAGCCTCCAAACTTGCTCCACGCGCGCGCCGAGGTCTGCCGGGCTCCCCCACTTCCCTGACTCCTCCCTCTGCTCGCAACCCCTCAACACCCGCGAGCCCGGACCTCCCCGGGCCCAGGGGATCACTCGGCGCCTCCTGGAAGGGCCCGGTGCGCCTGCCCCGGACGCGGTGGGCGGGGCCTTGCCGAGGGCGGGGCGGCCCAGAGGAGCGGCGGGCGGGGCCTGTTGCTTGGCAGGTTCAGTGACGGCTCTAGCCCTGCCCTGGCCCATCGGGTAGGGGAGGAGGGCGCCGGCGAGCGCGCGTTGCCTGAGCCGGCCCGGGAGCGGTCGAGCCGAGTGAGTGCGAGGCGGCGGCGGCGCGATGGCTCCGGCCGGGGACCGCGAAGGCTACTGGGGTCCGACGACCTCCACTTTGGACTGGTGTGAGGAGAACTACGTGGTGACCGTGTTCATCGCTGAGTTCTGTGAGTGGGGCCTGCGGCGGGGACGGCGGGGCGCGCGCCGAGGGGCGACGCGGCGTGCGGAGAGCGCGGAGGGCGAACCTGGCCGCGAGGGTAGGCTCCAGGCCAGGCCCGGGAGCGGCGGCGGGGCGTGCGCGGCCGGGGGAAGCCGAGGAGCCGCCGAGGCCGCCACTCGTCCCCGGGCTGGCTTGAGGGGGCCTTCAGGTTGGGGACGACGGGGACGTGCGAGCCGCGCCCGGACCTCGGAGGAGAGCGGGAGGAGCGCGGCTGGGAAGAGGAGCTCCTACCTGAGCGCGGCTGCTGCCAGGCCCGGCACTGCCCGCCCAGAGGTCGGGGATGAGGAGGTCTCCGCCGGGAGGGCCCTGAACGCCAGCGCCCTGCTGCTGCCCGGCCTCAGGCAGCCCGGCACGGAGAAGCGGACGCGTCCTGGCTCCGTCCTCTCCCAGTCCGGGAAACTCTTCAGGGCCCTTCCCTTCATCTCTTCAGACCACGCTCACTTCCAGGAGACAGTTACCGTTCCTCAATGCCAAAGCCCCCGCCCCCACTCCCGCTCCTACTCCTACTTTCACCCCTACCTGGTGTCTTCAAGTACCGGAGGTCACTGTTCGTCTTGCGCCAAAGCACCTAATCACTGCCTTCCTGCTCCAGCCACTCTTCTGAGAGCACGAAAGGCTCTCGTTACTCCTCCTCTTCACCTAGCTTAGCAGACTTTCTAGGGGTTAATGGTCATCTGAGGATACTTATTTCCATGAATGCATCTTCAGAGTCTGCGATTTGCTGCTGGCCAGGTTTGGGTTTTCTCGTGTGTGTGTGTGTGTGTGTGTGTGTGTGTGTGTGTGTGTGTGTGTCTTTGTCTTGCCAGGCAAGAAAGAAATCTGTCACTTCTTCCATCCGTTTGGTTAGCTTTTGAGAACACAGTGTTTGATCTATCTATCTATCTATCTATCTATCTATCTATCTATCTATCTATCTTTTCTGGCAAGGAGCAGAGAATGTCTTTGGTTGCTACTGCCTTCTTTTGAATGGATCCACTTTATTAGGCCCTGAGGCAAAACTCTTTGCTAACATTCTGTTCTTGAGTCCTTCTGGAGGGAGAGTTTCATGCCAGATGATCCCACAGAAAGTCTTGCAGTTTTCAGGGCGTTAGTCCCATACCTTTGAGACCATGATTTAGACTGATCGTCACTTTTTCTGAACTATTAGTTTAAAATAATAGTTTTTATTCAGTAAAGGAGAAAAAACAGCAAAGGGATCATTTATAGGGTAATTACTTGGCAACCCAAACATTGGCAAAGGAAGCACTTTGGCAGTTTGTTTTTAGATAGTTTTGGCAAGAATGCCCAGAGGCTCATGACCACCAGGGAGACTTAAAGTCATGTTCTTTGAGCTGGGAGTGTGTAGCTTTTTATTTTTCCCTTCTTACGGGTCTTCAAATATTGGAAGGACTTGGAGCTCATTCACTATTTCTAGAATGTAGTTAGGTGCGATGGGTGGAAGAAAATAACTGCAAAGGGAAAGAGTTTTGTTTCAGCTTAAGAGAAAACTTTCTAACTGGTGATGCTGGCCTGGAACAAGTTGGCATAGGGGTAGACAGCAAGAGCTTTGTGTCACTGAAAGTGCTAAAATAGGCATTGCTCACCTATGTCATTTACTTTAGGAGGAATCTGGTAAAGGAATTAGCCTTATGCAGTTTTATTAATCTGCATTAGTAATAAAGACTTTTAGTTTAGAACCAAGGTTTTAAATTAGAATCAAAAGAGAAAACTGGCAGTTGAGTCATGTGAACCGTGAGAGAGGAAGATACTAGTGTTTTGGCTTTGAGAAATGGGAAATGGCTTTACTTCTGCACGTCCTCAGAAGAGGAAACCGAGTAGACTGTCGGAAGTTTTTTGACATAGCAATCAAAAGGGTTGCATGAAGAGGGTAAATGAATATGTTGATAACCCTTTGTGTACATACCTTGGGAGAAAATGACCTGAAGGAAGTTGAGACAAATTGCCTGATCATGTAACATAGTGGTGGATATCTATCATAATTAGAGTATGAGGGTTTGGCCTTTGAATAATATGCAGATTTAAAAAGCTGGGTGTATTGGTACATGCCTATATAATTCTAGCACTTAGGAGGCGGGAGCAGGAAAATTAGGAGTTCAAGGCCAGACTCTGCTTTGTGAAACACTTTCTCAAAAAAACCAAAATAAGAAAGCAAGCAAAAAGTGGTTAATACCATGTACTCCTGACAGGTGTAGCTCTAGCTCTGCCAAGTTTACATAGTTTTAATGATAGTATTATCAAGATAATAATAGTTATTATCTAAGTAATTACTGTATACCACAGTTAGTTAAGCCCTTGATATGTTTCTCGCTTTTGAGTTTTACAGTAATTCTATGAAGAAGGTATTATTTATGCCTATTTCACAGATTAAGAACTTGAAGTGTTTGTTAATTTTTAATTTGATCTTGTTTTGTTTTGAGAAAGGGTCTCTGTATCCCAGATACTCCAGGAGTTCAATGTGTAGGTTGGGCTGACATCAAACTTTGGTATTCTTCCTGTCTTAGCATCCCAAGTGCTGGCAGAACAGGAGTGAGACATAGTCCCTGGAAGGAGCATTTATTTCTTGTATTTTTGGTTGTGAGCCTAGCCTTTAATGACTGAACCATCTCTCCAGCCCTAGAGCATATATTTTTAAGAAATGATTTATCTAAGATTGCAATAAGTTGTATTGAAATAGTATTTAGGTTGAGATTGCATTCTAAATCTATTACGCACTTTTGCTTCTCCATCTTTACTTTTATTACACTTATTCTTTTGCCCTTGCATTCAAGAGAGAACAGACATGAAATTCTGTATTATCACAAAAGATAAACTGGACAACTATTCAAGCTATTCAGCCATCTTTTGGCATTACAGTATGTGTATTTTGGATAATTAAGCTCTTAGTCCTGAAAAGCTATCCTTTAAATAGCAGCCCATATTGATTCAAACTTCTTTTTATTTGAAAATATTGTAAGTACCCAGGAGAAGGGTAGAGAATGTTTAGTTATGAAATAACAAGGCCCTCGATGTGCCAGAAGTTGTAGCACACTTGTTTCTTATGGGACTATACAAATAACAGTGCAAACTAAAACCAGGCAAAGGATATTTTGTTTGTTTGTTTGCTTGTTTGTTTATGTGGTGGAGGGGGTGTGCATGTGCCACATTGTATGGAGGCCAGAGGATAGGTTGCAGAAGTCAGTTCTTTCCTTCCACCATGTGGATTCCAGGGATCAAACTCAGTTTATCAGGCTTGGTGGCCCCAAAGCAATCTTATAATCAATAGTTGAAAAGTTGTAGTTATTTTGTAAACTTTAAAAGCTTTTGTCAAACGGGGCTGGCAAGATGTCTCACTTACCTAGTGTTTGCTGCCAATCTTGATGACCTGAGTTCACTTCCCTAAACATATAAGGTGGGAGAGAACTGACTCCCACAAGTAGTCCTCTGACCGCCACATGTTTCTCTGCCACCACATGCAAAAGAGTGTTTTATTCTTTGTAAAATAACTTATATGGTTATTTTAGTATAGTATTATAGTATAGTTTAAACAGTGCTTGCCTTCTCATTGCATAACTTGGAATGAATTTATTTCTTTTGTAGTGACAAATCCTTTCTGAGTCTGGATAATCCACTGTTTTATTCTTTGCACTTTCCGTATGGTGAAATATCTCCAAGAGTTCCTTTAATTAGGATTGACTTAGTTTTGTTTGTTGTTGGCCAGTATCATTCTTCTGGGTTTTCTTTACTTTTTCCCTGTAACTGCTGTGTTCATTATGTTGATAAGTTTGCCTTAACTAAGTTCCTCAGGAGGAACATCTTACCTGATAGCAGTATCAACATTTCCACGGTTCTCTCTTATAACCCTGTTTACATTTGTTAAGGGATTTCTGTCAACTGGAGTTTGCTTCTCTGCTGCCCTTTCCCCATTGTTGGCCAGTTTTTCAATGATTTGGAAAGTAACCTGCTTTGAAAGAATTGACTTAGTTGGTCACATACAGGCAAAAAATTATGTAATTATATTTATTGAAGATCTAACAGTGAAGTATGTAGCATATTTATTTGGATTGCTTTTATTTAACTGAATTCTGGCAAACTAAAATATGAACATATTAGAATTCTGCTTGCTAAGTGAAGATTGTATGTTAATAAGCTTCCTATTAAGGAGATGTTGCTACCCCATTTTCAAAAAGAGAAACTAGGCCTGAAAGAAGTTACCTCCTCAATGGCACATGGCTATACCACTATTTAATAGTGGTAGAAGCAGTATTCAGACTGACAGCTTTCTACCATAGTACACATTACAGAAAGTGGCATTTAAGTACTACTAGTTTAAATATTGCAGAAGAAATATTGCCTAAAGAAGGAGGAGAGTTCCAAGCTTTTATTATTGTCTTATTGAAGAAATTACTCAGTTAAAAATTATTTAGGGAGCTGGGTGTGGTGGCTCATGCCTATAATTCCGGGACTTGGGAGGCAGAGACAGGTGAGTCAGAACCTCAAGGCTGTTTTTGGCTACCGAGTTAGTCTGAGGCCACCCTAGGCATTATGAGACCCTGCCTTTAAATTTTTTTCAGAATGTATCATTTGTTCAGTAGATATTTATTGAGCTGTTTTGTCATGTCAGGCTGTAAAACTGTTATATATGAGCAGCCTCTCTGTCCATTGTAGTTGGAAAAGCCAGTAAGATATAAACAATGGGCATACTTTCTGCCCTCCCCCAGACTAGAGATTTAACCTAGAGCTGCATGTATGCTAGAGCTGTATCTATATATTTATTCCTATTTGTCTATATTTCTACCTACCTGTCTATCTCTATCATCTATCTACTTTTCATCTATCTATCTATCTATCTATCTATCTATCTATCTATCTACCTATCTTCCTACCTACCTACCTACCTACCTACCTACCTACCTACCTACCTACCTATGTATACCACTGTTTTTATTTTGAGACAGAATGTTACTAGTT